CCACTCCCCTGCCTCTTCTAGCGGCGTCGTCGAATTGGTCACTCTGATCCCGCTTGCTCGCTTCGCCGCCCACTTCAACCTGAAACCGCTTGCCGGCGACGAGGATTACGCGCTTCCCGCCGTTCCGGCGCTCGGCGGCCACGACGACGATAACGGTGCCTTCCAGTCCATCGACAAGAAGGGAAAGGGCCCCGCAGAGTCGCAGAGCGGAACCGGCTGGGTGTCGAGCACGAAGGTCGAGCGAATGATGGCTATTTTGGAGGAAACCCGTAGCAAGGCTCCTGGAGAGAAGACTATTGGTACGATTGGAAGAGGTGGGCGCGTTGCACCGCCCTTGAACCGGAATTTCCTTGAAGTCTCATCTTCCCGCCCCTTTCAGTCTTTAGCCAGTTCATCGGGATGCTGGATCTTTGCGAGGAGGCGATCAAGCAGAAGGGGTACAAGTTCGAACGGGTATGTAGGAGGCGCAATCTGTCTCTATTTCGTCTCAATGCATAAATTTCGACTCTCTCCTCGCTTTTCCCGTTTTCTAACACAATCGTCCTCTCCCTCAGTTCGATGGAGCCATGAGCGCCACCGAACGCAACGACGCTATCACTCGCTTCCGCGAGAACCCGCGTATTACCGTCCTCCTTGTCTCGCTCAAATGCGGCTCTCTTGGACTCAACCTCACCTGCGCGAACCATGTCATCCTCCTCGACGCCTGGTGGAACCCCGCCGTCGAGAACCAGGCGATTGACCGCGTGCACCGCTATGGGCAGCGCAAGTGAGTTGTGGAGGGGAAGTGGGCAGGGCGGGGGGGGGCTTATATCCTTGCACCAGATGATTCTTTCGCTATTTTTTAACTTTCTCCTCTCCACCGCCGCCGCCGCCGCCAGGGAAGTGACCGTCCACCGCATCACCATCGCCGAAACCGTCGAAGACCGCATCCTCGCACTGCAGGAAAAGAAGCAGGAAATGATCAACAGCGCCCTCGGAGAGGGTCCCATCAAGCTGAAAAAGGGCCCGTCTGCTCGCCTCACTGTCGACGACCTTCGCAGCCTTTTCAACAGCCACGAGACGGAAGACGATTAGGTCGTGTGTGTGTTTGTGTGTTTATAGGCGTGGGACTGAAACCTCCCCCCCTCTGTACTAGACATCTGTTCTGATTCATCCTTGTAGTTGAGGAAGCCCTCAGCCCTCGGTCAATGGCTTGGCGGGGGGGCGTGTGCATTGTTTGATAGCTGGAGCCGGCGTGTAGATTGCTGCACATAGTATATAAGTATGTTTCCGTGTTGCTCCCCAAACTTTTCCTGTTTTTTTTTTCCAGGAGTGTGGTGAGGACAAGGAGGGTGAGAATGTTTCCCTGAATGCCTCTTGCCCGGAACGCGGCAACGTCGGCTCTTCGGGCGTGTGTTCATGCAGTCCAACGGTCGCATCAGATCAAACGAAGAAGGACTGCATCACATGGTTCTCGAATGAGATTGATGGCTCGAGATACTCCATCCGTCTAGACCGTCTCCCGTCTCGTCGTGTCTGAACACGATCCTCCTTCCGAAGGCTCAAGAAGAGAAACCGTTGTTCGCGCGCATGAACTGATTCTGGGACATAAAAGAGTGTCAAAAGACAAAGAAAATGATGCTTCTTTTGATGGCTGAATGACAAGAAAACATGTTTTGGTTTGTGCAATTATAATCTGTGTCTGAAAAAAGTAAATATGGGGGAATTAGCTCAGATGGCAGAGCGCTCGCTTAGCAGTATGTGGCTAGCATGCGAGAGGCAGGGGGATCGATACCCCCATTCTCCACTTCCACTACTTCTGACTGTAGCGTCCCTCTGTTCGCCTGTGTTGCCAGTCACCGCTCTCGGAGGTCTTGCCGAGGAAGGAGTGGATCCTGCACGTGATCGTCTAACTCAACACGGGGAAAAATTCAGCGTCCCCTCCCTCCACAAGCTTCCCAAAACCATCTTCATGAGAATCGCCTTAGGTTTTGGCTGACTGGCCGGCGGGAAGGCACTGTTGGATTTCTCGTCCCCCTAGGTCTTGGACTCATGGTCAACACGCTGCTGCTGCTGTGAAGTAGCGGCGGGACCCGGGTGGTCGTGGAGCCCGAGGTGCCGGTGTGGGGCCGGAATCTTGGAATTGAGGACGCTGCCGCCGGAAATGGTGGGAAACGGCGGAAGAGGAAATACTCCTGATGATGGTGCCGTCGAAGCCGAAGGACCCGTTGGACTGGAACCAGGTGTCTGGATAGATCGGGGCGGCGGGGAGATGGGAGCGCTGATTCAGAGACGGAGCACCAAATCCTGGAATGGAGCACACAGCCACCACCTCCCACTCAAAAACTACTGTGCCTGAATCCGCGCGGTGTCCTGGGGTCGGAAGGGGTCGGCCGATGGTCCCTTCCTTCCCCCCGAAGCCTGTATATGCTTCCCGCCACGAGCGGTTCCAGGCGGTCGTTGTCCCTTCGCTCAGGTGCGCGAATGCCTCCCCTCACCCCCTTTCTCACCTCAACACGATATTTATCCCCTCTAAAATCGAATTCCCAGGCATGTGCCTCCGCCGCAACAAGACCGCGATGCTGGATGGTCGCCCGATTATCGAGATCCCTTCGCGCACGGTCCACACGGACTCGAAGACGTTCTCCGCCCCCGAGAGGGAATTCTATGATGCGCTCGAGCGTCAGGTTCAGTTCGAATTCAATGAGTACATCAGGGCCAGTACTGTCATGAACTACTCGAACGTCTTGGTTTTACTGTTAGGGCTTCGTCAGGCTTGGTAAGTTTGCGAGTGGCGGGCAAGAGGCGGGACAAACTCCGATCTCACATGAGAAGCGCAAAAAGTCTGAGTATTTCCCGCTTCGATCGGTCCCTGTACACTCGCTCGCTCTCCAGTAACCACACCAGCCTCGTTCTTCGGCCAGCCGACGAGGAAGATGAGGGCAAAGGCCTCGCGCACCCTGAAACTTTCCAGAAGCCGCAAGATTTAAGCGGTACAGGCTGGATATCGAGCACCAAGGTCGAGCGAATGATGATCGTGTTGGAAGAAACCCAAAACAAGGCTCCTGGAGACATGACCATTTGTGCGATGGGGAGAGGGTAAGTAGTTCGGGGCGTATCGAAGTGGCTTGTCGATCTTCATTCAAGTCTCATCTTCGTGCCCCTGCCAGTTTTCTGCCAGTTCCTCGGGATGTTGAATCTTTGCGAGGAGACGATTAGGCACAGGGGTTTCAAGTTCGAGCAGGTACTTACTACTACGTAGCACTAGCAGGCGCAATCTGCCTTTGTTTATCTCAACGGATTCGGGGTTAACAACTCAACTGCCTCCTCGCACATTATTCCTTTTCCTCAGATCGACGGATCCGTGAGCCCCACCGGACGCAACAACGCCATCACTCGATTCCGCAAAACCCCGCGCACCACTATCCTCCTTGCCTCGCTCAATGCGGCTCCCAGGGACTTGACCTCACATGCGCGAACCACGTCATCCTCCTCGACCCATGGTGGAACCCCGCAGTCGAGAACCAGGCGAGTGATCGCATTCACCGCTATGGGCAATTCAAGTGAGTTAATTGGGGGGTGGGGGGGGAGGGGGGGGCGGCAGAGAGGGAGAGTTTCTTGTATTGAATCAGACCATGTTGATTGCGTTGCCGAACCTGGACATCCCAGTGATTTTCTCCCTTTTTATCAACTCCCCCCTCCCTTCCCCTCTCCCTCACCCCCGCTTCTGCCAGGGACGTAATCTTCCACCGCATCACCTTCGTAGAAACCGTCGAAGACCGCATCCTCGCGCTTCAGGCGAAGAAGCAGAGAGGGTCCTGTCAAGCTGAAGAAGGGCCCGGCTGCTCGCCTTATTTTCGATGGCCTTCGCAGCCTTTTCAATTGCCACGAGACGGAAGACGATTAGTTCGTGTGTGTGTGTTTATAGGCGTGGGACGCCCCTGCAACGTCCCCCCCCTCCCCCCTCCGTATAAGATATTTGTTCTGATTCACCCTTGCAGTCGAGTTCAATGACTTGGAGGGGGGCGTGTGGATTGTTTTCTTGCTGTAGTCGCCATCTAGATTTCTGCACATGGTTTTGAGCATGTTACCACGTTGCTCTTCTTTTCCGTCCAGCCCCCCCCCCCCCCCCCCCCCCCCCCCTCCCCCCCTCGTTCAATATCCTCAAAGACCGTGACAACCAGGCCCACGCCGATAGGGGAGGGGTTAAGAGGCTGAGGAGCTAGGAGGTAGGAAGCGGAAGCCGTGAGACGAGGGAGAAACCCTACGAGCGTTGGATCCGAAGTAAAAAAATAAAAATAACCTCGTCGTAACCGGAGCGCATGCCATAGCAGTGATAGCACCACCTTTCGGGATCCCTGAAAATTAATGTTGAGGCCAGGGAAGGGGCTAGAAGGAAGCAAACATCAAAGGGGGGGCCGGAACATTGGACTTGGAGGACGCTGCCAACGGATTTGGTGGGCCTGACGAGTGGCGGGGCTCTTGACCTCCTTTTGCCCGGTCGCCCCGGCGTTAGGCTTGGTCTCTTGGATGCTCATGCGAGGGCCGTGACTGTGAGAAGGGTAATGATGAACCCCGCGATGATCTGCTTGGTTGGCGGACGAGCAGCTTGGGAGTGGGAAATGAGGGAAACGACTGCTAATGACATGCTGTTGCCTGGGGTGAGCGGTGCCGGGCTGTTTTACAGATACTGCATGGGAGGAATACGTTGATCAAGCGCTCTCCTTCCAAGTCTTCGATCACACAGACCCTCGTTCATGCCTCAGTCTCCATTTCTTGTCGCTTCCAAACTCTCTCCGTTAATGCACCCACAGAATCCACCCACCCCGAACATCACCCAACGCCACCGCAAAACTATCGACAAAGTTCTCCTGCTGAAAGGTAGAATGGAACCAACCGTCGCCAAACAATTCAAGGCATGGTTCTGTCCGGTGCGATCTGAACCGAGTTGGTGCGTCCTGCTCCGGGGCCTCTGTCGACCGTCGACGTGTCCTGGCACGTCCTCTTGGCGTAAGAGCTTCCCAGCCCCTCGAGTGCCTTGGAAATGTCTGTTCCAAGCATTTCCAATTCAAGCTACCCCTTCAAAAGCGTTGAGACATCCCATCTGGAACTTTGATAATTGCAAGATGCGAGATACAAAATGCGAGATCCGACTCCACACGGGGGGAGAAGGAAGAACAGAGCGGGCGGGCTGCGCCAAGATTGGCCTATCCCAGTTACCGCAACGCACCGTCTCACGAGCGCGCGCACTGGCGCACGGCCTGAGCGGTTTTCGCGTAAAGAAGCCGACCAAAGGGCCCAAATGGAAGCAAGCGCCGAAGGCGTGCGTTTAAACTTCCAAGTATTTGATTCAATCGGAAGAACGAGCGTCGCTGTTGTGAAAAAAAGGGGTATCAAATAGAAGACCGGCGCAAAGAAAGGACAGTCAACGCCCCCCCCCCCCCCCACCCCTCTCTGTGAGTCCCTCCTCCCAAACAATAGCCGCCCTCGAGTTTGGGCGACGAGCTGACCAAGGTCGGGACGGGGCTGTGGGACAGAGGGACGGCGCTGTTGGATTTCTCGTCGCCTCCGGGCTTGGACGTGTGAACGAAGGTGGTGCTGCTGTGAAGCGGCGGCGGGACCGGGTGGGGGTTTTTGGTCGGCGCTATGCCCAACGGGCGGGTGACGGTGCCGATGTGGGGCGCGGGGGCCGGAATCTCGGCCTTGGGGATCGATGAGGTGCTTCGCCGGTCCACCGCTTCTCCTCTGACGAACAAGATCAGAAAGCGGTCTCACGAACTTGGTAGAAGGGGGCTTCGGTTTCGATTACAGAATATGGGTCCGCATCATCTCACCTCTTTTCACAAGCATCACAATCATCAGAACTCTTTTCGCCGACCAGCGCTAACGCAAAACTATCGACAAAACGCTCCTGCTGAAGATCAGCTGGCCCCAACCGTCGCCAGCCCACTCTTCAATATCCCGTTGATGATACGGTTCTCCTGCTTGTGCCCCCTCCTTGCCTCTCCGCGCTTCCTCTGCTGGCACTTTCAGAGTCGTTGACGAGCGAGCCCAAGGTTGCTTGGTGGATCGATTGTGAGGGGGGCCTATGAAAGGCCGCATCCGTGTTGGATCAAACGGGACCGGTGTCTTGCTGATCATTCGAGATCTGAGAGATTCGAGGCATCGTTTCTCAGTCATGGATTCGTCATCGGGAGTTTGAAAGCAATGGTCTTCTAGTGAAGAGAACAAGATTGGGTGTAGAGGGAGGGGATCCCTTGAAAGTGAATGGTGCTTCCCTGTCAAAAAAAAAGGTTTGAAAGAAGGGAAGATCGGGAGACCGTCGTAGTGTTGAACAGATACACCTCGTGGTGCAGAGGCAACGGCGAGTGGAGGCCGGGACGAAGGCATAAAGAAGTGAATTTGACGTTTCCAAGAACGCAACGTCCGAATTGGCGTTTCCTCCTGCCAAACCTTCTCTTCCCGTTTCCATCTCTTCCCCTCGCATCTCCCTTTCGCATCTGAGCAGCCCTGCCACCGTCCCGAACCCCGACACTTCTTGGAACCACCCACCCTAGAGGTGGTGGACGTGCTTCCATGTTAATCCAATGTGCAAGGGCGCGGGGCGGAGTGGGCTGGTGGGGGAGGCCGAGCGGTGTCCTGGGGGTGGGAGGGGTTGGCCGATTGTTATTTTTTTCTCGCCACCTGGGTGTACTTCCCGCCATGAGCAGATCGAGGCAGTCGTCGTTCCTCCATAACAATCGCCATGAAGATGAGGACGAACTCGCTCTCGCTATGACTCCCCCGGCGGGCGGCGGCGGCCCGTCA